GACTTGTGAATATAATTTTTATATTTATATATATATTTTTTTTTAAATAACCCAAATAATCATTTAGGCATTTTTTAAATAGTTATTTTGGTTAATACATTTGATGTAATATTTGTGTGATTTCCATAATTTATATGCCAATATTTATATTTTAGCCCCAAATCCTCAAAAATAAAATGTAAAGATATTTAAAAAAAAAGTTCAGAAAGAAAATTATGCATGCTTCAGAATCATTAGTAAATAAGCAGCATATTTGTAATATTCAGTGTTTTTATTTTACTGAAAATGGTCCCAAATGCAAAACAAATAATAATGGTCAGACAAAGATAATTATATACATATAAAGAAATATGACAGACAGTTCATTAGATTGTTTATTCTTTTTGGTGTTCCCTGTTTAGCAATTTTGCAAAAAAGAAAAAAAAAATGATTGGGCTTTTAGACAACCAGTAAATGTGGGTTTTAATGATTATGGAAAAAAAGCTTAATTTTCACTGTGTGTATACTGCAAAAATGTATTAGTGTTGAAAATAATTTTATGCATATGATTCAATTGTCAGAATTTTAGCAAGTAATCAGGTTCTAACTGTTATAGATTGGCAAAGGATGGCAGTGGGATGCAGTGGTGCTCATGAAGGAGTTGCTACTTGGACGTTCAGTCAATGTCCAAATTATGGTACAGTGAATTTACACATACTTATTAACATCTACACTACTTCATGTATCGGCAGAACTTACTTAAGTAAACTTGTTGTTTTTTAGGAACACCCAAAGGATCCATGTGGCTGTGTTACGGTGGAGATAATGGTGGATGGCATGGCACTTAGCAAGATAATGGTTCACCATCAATATGCCACGTTTGACCCTGCCATCAGCAGCCAGGAGGTCTGAAAAGTGCAGATTAGTAATAAAGGCGAGTTGTATTATTTGTGTTGTAGATATTGACACTGTGTTTCTGTGCAGGATTATGTGGTTAAGCCTCCTATGCCAGATTTGGATGACTGGGATCTAAACACAGAGGTAGAAGTTTCATATAGTTCCTGAATTTTTGGTCAGTTTACATATTCAGCCATTATAGATTGATCAAAGCTGGTTGAGTAACAGTATAGTTTGTTTTTAGGGGTTGGAGGAGCAACCGCCTGTCCTAGGGGTATATAAAGAGCTTCATATTCCTAAAGAAAGAAAACATTTTCCTGCCAAGGTCAAGCATATCCGCACGCCAAATGAGGTATGTGGTTAGTTTCACCATCAAATGTTTTAGTCTGGTTTAATAATGTAAAAAAATCCTCCATGAAGAATTTGAAATCTCAATGGAATATATAGATAGTTTCTTTTGTTCAGTCTAAAAAAGGCAAAGCCCCTATAACACATCTGTCTATTACATAATCAACAGAGACCAATGGTGGTTTTCAGCCATTACCAAACAGAGCAAACTTTTTCCAGAAAGTTCTTTTTGGAAAATGAAACAAATTCAAATGACATAATATATTGATTTGAAATAATGCCATAGTCTGTTCTTCTCTTTTACTTGAAGTATATTGTGGCCTCTATAGTCGGTTACTACTGTATATGTTACTAATATGTGTGTTTGCAGGTGTTCCTGTGTGTCCTGGACAAGAGTCTGTGCAAACTGGAGCAGGATGAGAGTATGGAGGAAACTCTTGAACAAGTGAATGAGAATATTGAAAATCTGAGCCTGCTGACAGACTTCCCCATTGGTGCTTACATTTACCATTTGGTTATGGTTCATTTCATTGTGTGAGAACTTTGTGTGCATGCATACCTATTATACAAGTTTACTTAAACTGTGTATTATACTCTTTCTTTAGTTCAAAACACTGGGATTGGCTCTAATATGCCTGTGATTTAATAGAAATTAATTGGTTGGGACAAAGGATTTAATGTGTGTTTGTTTGCAGAGTGTCTCTGTCTGGCCGAGTACAGTGATGGTAAATATTATCGTGCGAAAATTCTGGGATTTTCTGAAGTCACTCCCTCTGTCAAGCTACTTGTGAGACATGTTGATTTTGGCTCGGATGACATCATACCATTGCACAAGTAAATCTACATGTTTTACAGCTATTGACTATTGATTTGCTGCATGTTTGTGTAAGAAATGTGAAAAAAGATGAAAACCCTCATTTTTGTGAGAACAGAAAAAAATAATCCAAATTTGGCTCATTTTGTATTATCACAAGTCTAAATCGAGTCTAGAATATGCTTTTTTTTTAGATGGCTAAAAAAACCTGTAAATGAAGTGTTGTCAGTAGGGTTAATTGCCTTTTTCCAGCCCTGATCTCATTAGCATATTAGTAGCATGAAAAGTGTGCAAATGAAGTATTGGAGTCAGAACCCGTCCTGCCACTGGACCACCTTTAAAATGTTACCTAGCCATTTGTTAAACAATAGGCACAGCCGTGCTTTGAACTGAGATGTTTTAATGTCACACCCTAGCTATAATTTTGGTAATTTAGAACTAGATTATATAAATTTATATTTCCACAATGCATTAGCAAAAGCAGTGGGGATCAGTACCTACATCTATCGCTTTATATTGTATCGTTTATCATAAGTGATGCTCTGTCTGGGATGCTTGATGACATACTGACAACAGGCTATCCACGGGGTCTTAAAAAGTCCCAAATCTCAAAGACTAAATTTTAGGCCTTAACTCTTAAATTTACTGAAATGTTGTGTGCAGGTCTTAACTTTTATTTATTTATTTTTTAACAGCTCTTAATTTTCCTGTTCATGTATAGCTACCCAATTTGGCCATAACACTCATACAACAATCCCAATTTAAAAATGTATGTAAAAATAGCATTTTTACTTTATTTACGGTTTTAATTACTTTCTGTACAGTAACAGTTTGAAACGTTCTCCATTTATTTACTGCTGAGGATACTGAGCCAACCTATATTTTTATTACTAAATTATTATCATTGTATTATTAAATGTATTACATTTATAAAAAAATTTCCAAATGGGATATTAGCAATTAGCCTTGTATAAGTCTACAATTTCATTCATAATGGGCTTAAAAAGATCTTTAAAAGTTAAATTTTACTTGGTGAAACCTGCAAAAACCCTGGACAAAGACTAGCATGTTTAAACATTTATTTTAAATATGTTTTGTTACAGATTGCGACAACTCCCTGCATCCCTTCACCATTTCCCATGTGCAGCTGTTTACGTCAAGTTGGCAGGCTTCAAACCAACAAACGTGTCCTCGGATTTGGAGCGGATTCCTTATTCCCTCGATTGGACTATGAAAGCCATGATGGAGATGATCGACTTGTTGAACGGAGAGCTCACTGCGGTGGTCACTGTACGATCCATTTGCTTTTTGCATTCGCTTAAATATTTCCAGTCATGTCTTGCATTTTTGATAATCAGATGCTGATTATATCATTCTTGACCACTTTTAAAATTTGGATTGGGAGTAAATTCATTTACTGACACAGGTGTAAACGGGACCTAGATGTCAAATAATAATTGGGGACAATTCAAAAGTGTGTTCTGTATACACAAAGTGATGTTCTATAAACAAATTTCAGGAGGAGCATGCACAGAAGTTTCAGCAGTTCTAACACAGTACTGACAATCATTCTATTATCCAATCAGCATTAGACCAAACCCCTATAAATACCAAAAGTCATCCTACCTACATAGTCTCATGACGTAAGCATCCCTCCACCAACCACCTCATCTTTTAAAACATTATTTACCCCGGGGAGCGTTCTAGGGCTAGGCTTGACACTTTACACGAACCCCAATGTCTATTCCTTTCCTGATAGAGGAAAAACATGAGTTGGGGTGTTTTCCGAGCTCAAAGCCCTCTCCCTGCACAGCATGCCAAAATATACTTTAGCCTTTAAACATCTGTAAGTGTGAACTTATGAATCTGCATGAAAGCTGGTGTCAATCTGTTCAAATGTGCAATTTTAGGCAACCAAACCACAACTGACTGTGCTGCTGTACAATGCGGATGGGACACTTGTCCACACACCTCTGGTGGAGAAAGGTCTTGCTGATTATGAGTAACTCTTAAAATGGTAAGTGCCTAAGTGAATGGATATCAATGAAGTCAATAAGTCTGAACATAGGTTAATTCTTTGACTTATTTTCAGTTTCTGCAGGATGTGCTTGTGATGCTGTTGAACGTCAACTTGGAAGCTTTTAAAGACAGCAGTACAATTATGTTTGGGGTGTTGTCTCATTTTATGTTCAAGTACGTGAGGTTTTATGCTACTGTATTTGTGCAGTTGTTTTGTGTTATAATATTTGGCCAGTTTTATTTTATGTTAAATATTTTATTGTTCAAGTTCATGACTGCTTTGAAGAAATCCTAAGATTTTGTTGATATTTAAAGCCTCTGTATGTCGAGCAGAGCTGAAGTAAAACTCTTATTAACTGACTTGCTGAGGTGTTTGTTATAAATCTTTTTTTTTTTTTGCATAATAACATTAATCATATTATGGTGAACAACCAGAGCAGACTTTTAAAATTCTTCACATATCTTCACATATTACAGTGACTTGTTCCAGTGTTTCCTCTAGGATTTGTTCCAGCTGTGGCGGCGGGCCTTTTACACAAATCTACCATCTACCTATGGCGTTATTTCAAATGGCAAATGGCGTGAGCGCAGTATTACAAGTCGAAATCGCATTTATGTAATACGAACGTGAATCTCTTTGCTGGCAGATAACGCACAGCATTACTACGATTACAGAAAAATTCGCTCTGTTATAATTCACTTACCTTTTAATATGTTTTGGTACTGAAGGTTTTGAATGAGAAGCTGTAATGTAGCCATGGCGGGATGAATTTTAGTGTGGCCCCCCACCATGGAAGAATGAATGTAGTAGAAACCATGTGTTCTACTGAGAACCACACTGAATAGGCAATTTTTTTATACAATACAAATAACTATCTGGCCTATTTTCAATACAACATAAAAAGGAGAGAAATACCTTTCACATACTGTACAACTTTGTATAAATTCAGATTTATTTTTTTACAGAAATTACAAACAAAAATAAATAGTTAAAATTTACAAATTCCAAACAAATTCATTCAAGTCCCATTGTTTTCAAGCTTTAGTGTCCATAATGACTTTTCCCTGTGGATCTTTTAGTCGCACCCGTCCTGTTGGGTACTGCGTCTCTTGACGTCCATCTGAATAAACCGTTTTAACCGTACCATCAGGATATTCCCGTCTTTTAAAATCTGCAGTGTGGATCTCTCTCTGACCTGTGTTAAACTGGATCACCTTACTACCATCTCTGAAAAAAGAAAGCAAGGATGAAAATAGTGTCATTTGTCAGGCACCTCTGTATAATGACGCATATTGAAGAATTGTACTCACGGATTCAGCTGTATTATTGTTCCATCTGTGAGCACACTTTCCTCTCTTCCATCAGGGTGAAGAGTCTTGACCGTCTGATCAGGGAAAGTGATTTCCTTACGACCATCTGGGAAGTGTTTCTCTAAAAAGTGCAAAGTGAGAGAAGAAATTGACTTAAGTTTTGACTTACAGTAATCTCTTTTTACCATTGATTGTTTTTAATGAAAATGCAGGCCTACCTGTTTGATTGTTAGGAAACTGAAGCACCTCCATGCCATCAGGATAAGTGATGTGTGTGGTCTGAGCCTCTGCATAGTAATAAATCTGAAAGAGAGTGACATTGCTAATCAGTCATGAACATTTGAAACTAAAATCCCCTCACGTCAATGCTAAAAGCAAAAAAACATTAACAGGGCCCTAAGAAATACTTTCTTCTCCCAAAATGTATCCAATGCATTTTTTCTTGATTTTTTTTTTTTGAACTCCATTACAATGGATTAATTGTAGTGATTCGAGATATCAGAAAAGTCAATTCCTTATTTTTGACTTTTAATTGCACAATTTTATCTCTCTGTCATTGAATTAAGCATGAAACATTAATAGTAGAACTATTATAACGAGATGGAAATAACAGATTATCAAAGTTCATCCCTCACCACTCTTTGATCAGGCATTGTGTGTTTCACATCTCCATTGAAAAACATAACTTTTACAGTCTGGCCATCAGCAGAAAGTTCTTTCCTGGTGCCATTTGGAAAGACAACAAGTCGGCCGCCATCTGGAAGCATCTTCTCAATCTGAAACATGTAAACAGTCCGCAATTTTGAAAGTAGACTAGACCATTTGCGCTGCAACCATTTCAACACTCCTCTAATCTGTAGCCCAGTATTGTTTAAAATAAGATTCCACTTAGCATCAGTATGAAATAATATTTGAGATGTGAATTGTTGAAGCTGAAGAAGACAGATTGATTACCTTGCTGTCTGACTGCATGATTTCTTCCTGTTTCTCATTTGTCTGTCCAGTTATGGTCAATTTAGGGAAAGAGTTATTCAGTGGAGCATCTTGGCTCCTCTCGTTCATAACCAGTACACCCGAACTCTGGTTTACCAATGGGCTGAGCTCTGATTTAAAGCTCTGCGTTTCTTTGACTTCAGGAAAAAAAGCTGTTTGGGGAAAATTGAGAATCATGGTACATCCTAATCACACTTAAAGAGAACAGACGGACAAGTAAAATACATTTTTACATTATTGTAGACAGAAATAAAAACATGCACTAGACTAGTGATTTTAAAGTATGATAATACCAGAGTCTGTGAGAGAGATCTGTGTTTCTGGACTTCCTTTTCTGCTGCTGTTGCCTTTTGAACTGTGAGATGGACTCTAAAAACATTAAAGCAAAAATAATGTTGTTTTATAGGTACAAACATCTCGGACAATAAAAACTACTTAAATTTCCAGACAAAATGTTAATTCAACTTTAATGTCTGCGTTTCTTTAAAGTAACAGTGAAGAAAATTTCAGATTTTTACCTTGGAATCTGTAGGTTTGGATCCAGTACTGGTTCTACTGCTAGATGTAGAGGACCGTCCTTTTTCCTTCTCTTTCTCAGCACTCTTCCAGGCACTGAGCCGCAGTTTCTCCAGTGTCCGCACTTGGTCTCTAAGGGATGTGTTTTCTGAACTCAGACTCTCCACCTGCTGCCGGAGACGCTTCTGTGTGTTGCTCCAGCGAGCCTCTCGTTTGCGCAAATCCTCCTGCATCATGTTCAACTGCTGCTTTAGAGCCTGGTTCAGACATTAACATGCAGATTTGAAACACAGATTTAAAATAAATGATTTTGTAATTTTTTTAAGTAGATGGTACTGAAAGCGGACCTGGATCTCATCTCGTTCTTGTTTGTCAGGTCTTGCTCTCACAGTTGCTGCATGCTTTTCAAAAAGCTTCTTTTCACGCTGCATTTTCTTGTATTCCTCACTTTTATACTCCTCCCACTTAGCAGTTTCCTCTATCCTCTTCTTTTCAAAGTCAGCCTTGTCTTTTCTGGGTGGGAAAATTTTAAAAGTTTTAGCTTTATTTGGTGAATGGTATTTAATTGTACTGTACATTCATTATACTTGGGTATTTGTTGTGTCTCGGGATTTTACGAAAGAGTCATACTTAAGATTTTCTCTGATATCCTGGTTCTCTTGCTTTAGCCTGGCCAGGGCTGCATTCTCAGATTTGAATCTTTCGATCTCTGTTTCCAGCTCCACCAAACGCTCACGAAGAAGTCTTGACTGAGCTGGAAATCAAAAGTTTGCTATTAAGAAGGATTGCGCAAGTTCTGTTAGTAACCAGTGCATTACTTTGTATGCATTGTTAGCGTCTGAGAAAAAGATTAAAAATACAGTCAAGTCCAAATTTGTTCATACCCCTGGAAGATTCTGACTTTTTGTTCAAATGTAATTGAAAGCTTTGAATTTTTTCCCCACAATTTTGTACATTTGTCTTATTATCTTTTAAGAGAAGCCTGTGTCATTTCCATTTAAAAAAAACTTCTTGCTGGTTGAATAAAATTAACTTTAAGTCAGAATTTGCCAATGGTATGAATAATATTGGGCTTGACTCAATGGGCTTGACAAATAATGATTATATATTTAAAAGCATTACCAACTGAAGACAAGCACATTTTATAGCAGTATGCAGAATGTCACAACTACCTGCTCCTTCCTCACTGGGCTTGTTCTGTGGTTCTGGCATCATTACTGGAGAAGGTTTGGGCTTCAGCGCTGGAAACAGCTTTGCTACCAACTGGCTTGTTGATGGAGCTTCATTTCGATTTGCACCTGCCTTTGGGCTCCCTCCTACTGGTTTCACCCCCTTAGAGAAGGCAACCTTCCTTTTCAGCATCCTCTCTGATGGAGATTCCTCTACTGGACAGGAGGACTCATCTTCAGGATCATTCCAGGTATCATCGTCATCAAACTCTAACTGGGTTCTGGAGTCTTTGAGAGTAGAGTCTTCATTATGACTTGAATTCCTATCATCCCCCTCTGGACTGCTGGCACCATCTCTATCTTGGTAGGTGCGTTTATCATAAGGAAGAGTGATGGGCACTTGAAAGTGGTTTATGGGTGGATTGGAAATGTTGGAAAGAGGTTCCAGCTCAGAGTTACTGCACGATGAGTCGTCAAACTTCTCATCAGTTTCCTCATGACAAAGTTCTTTCAGCTCTATGCTAACAATATCTTTCTGTATTGCAGTGTTTATAGGAGGCGCTGGTGCTCTATGACCCAACATGAGACCAGGAGCTGCAGTGGGACCTAGAGCTTGACTAGGTAGTGTAGATTGACCAGTGGATTTAATAGGTGTTGAGGAGAGACGCCTGCGGTCTCTCTGAAGCAGAGTGCTGATAAAGGATGAGTTGCTGGAGAATGAGATTTCATCTGCTGCTCGTTCTAGTAGCTCAAACTCTCCGAGTTCGGCACGCTCACGCTTGTGATCTTGCTCCCAATGCTCCCTTCGCTCTGTGAACCACACTTCAAAGGAATTTTCTGCAACACTAGCATTATCCTTTATACGATTACATTCTCTCTCCTTATTGCAGTCTGTTGGAGTGGCATTGTTAATCTTCATGTTGGACAAAGGGTCAGGTTTTGGGAGGATCTGAGCTGAGATGGAGCCCATATTTTGACCCTGATGTGCAACAAGAACATGAGGTTGAAGGGTCATCTTGGTGACTGGTCCTGTGGTTTTGTTCTGAGGAAAGTTCTCTTTATTTAGCACAGCTGTCTTGCGTTGGATCATTGGATGTGTGGATTTTGAGCCTTCTGATTTGTTTATGGAGTTCCTCTTCGACTTCATGTCCAGGACTTGAGATTTTTTTGGATTTTGGCCTGATGAGGGCTTGGGGTTAGGTGGACTTTTTCTGTTTGATGGTACAGTGGCTTTTCCCCTGGTAAATCTGGCCAGACCTTCTCCACGTTTAAGAAAGGGTCTCTTTACCTTTACACTTTTAGCTGGTGGATTCTACATATGTCAATATGAAAAAATGAAAGAAAATTAGACATTAAGGTTAAGTTAGATTAGAAAGATCATATTACACATAGTTATGTCAGCATAAGTTGGTACACCTCTACATCTAGGAAGTATTGACACTTCTATTTAGTTTTTCTGTCCTATTAAGGGTTGCATTTCCTGATATCATGACCTATTGTGGTTCGCTTAGATCACAGGTGTCAAACTCAGTTCCAAAAGGGCCGCAGCTCTGCACAGTTTAGTTCCAACCCTAATTAAATAAAAAACCCTAATACACACCTGATCAAACTAATTGAGTCCTTCAGGCTTGTTTGAAACCTACAGGTAAGTGTGTTGGAGCAGGGTTGGAACTAAACTGTGCAGGGCTTCGGCCCTACAGGAATGGAGTTTGACACCCCTGGCTTAGATGTTTTTGGTTTATGTTATGTTCATATGTCATTCGAACCACTCCAGAGTACATTATAAATTGCACCAAGACCAACTATAATTTGATGACAGTGTTCACACTTACTCAAATGAACCAATTTAGTTCAATTTAATCTTACCCAACCTGCCAAGTGCAAACCTAATATAACCCTATGTTTTGTAACTGACCTCGTTTGTCAATTTCTGGTTTTCCATCTTCAGCTGTTCTTCCAGTATTTCCTCAAATGTTCTCCCACCAAAGCCTGATTTAATGGGTCTAAAACCAACAGATACTTATATATAGACAATATATATGACACGATGCTCTGATATAGCATTATATTAAGCTGTAGAGTTTAAGTTTACCTGTCCTGTGGCTCTGAGTCAGACTCTTTTCTGTACATAGTTTGATCTTCAGTTGTGGACTGAAGAGATTCTTCAAATTCATAATGACTGTCATGTTCGGTGTTCAACGCCACCACACTTGGTTCACGGTTACACACAGTGGTCTCTACAATGGCAGATGAAGAAAGTCAAGTTTTATCCTATCTTGATAGTTATTGACTTTTTAAAGATAGGTTTAGCCTACACTTTATGTATATTTAATGTGATATTGAAAGTAATTCATCAGCATGATGAACTAATGTTTTGTTGTTCAATAAGATGTCATTAACAACAGCTCTTTGTGTACAAGTACCATAGACCATTTATTCTATACCTGCAGTATTCTGTGGTATTGCCAGAAGCCTTTGTGGTTCACGTTGTTGTCTTAGCAACTGTTCTTGCTGGTGGGCTTTGAGCTGCTCCTGCATGCGATATTGCATTTGCTTCAGCTGGAGAAATAAACAAGCTCTTCAATATCTTACAAAGCATTAAACATTTTTGCTTTATAAATGCTTTGACTGAGCAACTTATTCCTATTATTAAAAAAATTACCATGGAATTCAGAGAACATCCTTATATCTGACAAATTCAAATTAAAAAAAATATATATTTAAAAGAAAATCTCATCAACATTAATAACAACTGAACTCACCTGTTCAAGCTTGGCTATTAATGGGAGGTCTCGTGTGTTTCTTAAAATGTCTTGTATACTTTGCATCTCACTGTTCAAAGAAGCATCAGACAGTTGAGTTTCCCCAGGAGTTTTGCTGCCTCCACCCAGACTGCACATGTCCACACTGGCACAGCTGCTGCTCCTGGAGATGGGCAGTGGGGCAAACTGAGAAATGAAGGAGTCATCTGGATCCTGAACCACCAGACTGCCACTGCTCCGAACTGATCCAGAACTAGCATCTCCAGGTGAGCCATGCAGTATCACACCAGCACGGGTGCTGTCCGGCACCCAGTGGGAGATGAAGTTAATCTGCCCCTGCTGGAGTCCAGCTGGTGATGACATCATGTTGCTGACCTGGCTCAAACCCTAAAAAGGTGAGTTTGCAAATGCATTCACTCAAGAAGATAAACGTGATAATGATAAAGTCATAAGGGCATGTTTTTAAGGGGTTTTTTTTGTAACTAAAGTAGTATTAAATATATATGAACCCTTTTTAGGATGTTGGTTCTTAACAAATGTTTTACATTTTCACTGATTAGAAACACCAGTAAGTATATTTGCATGCAGCTGATATTAAAAAAAAGAAACACAAATAGCTTAAGAACAAATGTTGTTGAAACTATGGCTGCACAATATATATCGTTTCAGCATTGATATTGCAATGTGTGAGTCCGCAATAGTCACATAACAGGGATCTACAATGTAGTTGGGATTATAGTTGAGCAGACATTAAAGTTACAACATAGTGGAGTAATTTTACATTTTATTTCTTATGTAGCAGAGGCCAGCTAGTGAAGTGATGGTCTTCAGCCTCCTTGTTAAATCAACCGACTCCCATGCGAAGAGTCGCTAGTTCCATCCCAGCTTGGAACGGGTTGAGTGGTGTAGGACCGGTGGGGTTACACTCAGAATGAAAGTTTATTATTTGCATCTGTTTTTAAGGCCTGACTGTAAGAATTTGAAGCAAACTCGAGCCATTTGGGCACAATAAATTAAACGTTTCTAGCTTACAGATTAATTGAACATTATATTATTTACTCAATTAAATCGATAGTGTAATTACTATTATTATACAGTGAATATTTTATTTCTGCTTTTGAATATAGCTTGACTCCCCAGAAAATAAAATGTGTATTTGCATCTTTTATCTGTTGTTTTTAAAAATGCTTGTCATTTCTTAAAATGATATTTTATGCAGATGCTGCCCTACAGAATTATCAAAATCAATCTAAAATTATGAATTCTTAAACTATTCAAGTCCTCTGGTGAAATGGCATTTATATCGCAATATATATCGCATTGAATGAAAACATTGCTAGTTTTTTTTTCCAATATCTTGCAGCCAAAGTTAAAACTACTATTTTTCTCTGCCAAATGAACTGCATAAATATACATGACTGCAAAATGTCATCAAATATTTTCAAAGTTTGTAGCTCAAGAATTAAGCAAAATGTAACTTAATATGATTTTGGATTCTGGTTGTTAGCAAATAAATTACATACTAAAATGCTTATATAGTGATCATAATTTTCTGGTTCAGTCCCATAGCTATAAAGCTTACACGACAGAGTTTAATTCATTTTCAGTGGGTAAAAACTGTGTGGGTCACTTAAGTTAAACTGGAATCAAAATGATTGAAGCTAGCACTAGCTTGTATCTAAAGGTAAGTTATATCAAGTTATCTTTTTCTAGTTGAGCCACAAGTTTGATCACAGGAGAAAAACCCTAAGTAATGCTTTTTTTAGATGTCAACTATGTCATATATTACAAAAGTCAACATGTTAAACTAACGTTACCAAGTCTGATCGAAATCGGTTTCATTTTTAACCAAATAAACAAGCTATTTATTTCAGGGTAACGAGGTGAACGATGTCTGTTCCCATATTAAGTACAGTTAGTTCAAAGTGACATTATTGAAACCACTGAAGCTCAATAAACAGTCATTAAAGACCAAAGTATAACTGTCATCCAGGTGACGATGGGCAATACATTAGTTCAGTTGTAACACTATGAATATGTTTACAGTTTTGTCAAACATATCGGGGCCGTCAGAAATATAAACAAATACAAAGCGAGATATATGCTAAATATAGATGCTATATCACTTTACTAAATCGCTGCAGAGTTGTGAGTAAATATGCCCTACCTTAGTTTGGGTTGTCGAGCCGGGTATTTAAAGATTCCCGCAGTTGACGTCTGAACTTTGGTAAGTTTCGAACGATACCGCCATAACAAAGCATAGCCCGCGAGACAGACGAATGATCAACGAAAACACCGGTGCATGATGGGAATTGTAGTCAGAACACTTTTTATAAGCTCCTCCCTCAGACTAATAAAAACATATCTTATTTGTAGCTGGTCATCTCCGTCTTATTGCAGTCTGCTGGCTTCACTGCTCCTGCACAATGCAGCACTTAGAACTTTTACAGTAGGTTACTAGCATAAACACTAACAAGTGTAACAATAGTAGTGATAACAGGACCTCCTGTTTGGCAGGTATAAAGCCAGCCAGACACATGTAATTTAATAGCGACGTTGCCTTTCGCGGTGCGAGGTTTAGAAACTGGCGCCTTAAACAGTGACAGGCTGAGTATGGCACGGTAAATGGTAACCAGTCGCTAGTGTTATTAAATCAAAGTCTACGGCTCTTGTATTGTGTATTGATTAGATGCACGTAGCAGTGACAGACCTCTAGGACTGGTCACGAGCAGGTCACGAGGAAGATGCATTGGGGAGTTTTGCTCATGTCATTTTAGCTGTAATACATGCCTTAGACTTCATAAATGTAGGCCAGAGATTTTCAACAAAAATGTATTGAAGGAGTATTATCTTTTAAACCTTATTTTTATTTCGTTATGAAATCCAATAAGCTGTGAAAAATTCTTAAGAAAAAAAGAATAGCCTAGTTATTTAGCAGAATAAAGAACCATTAAGAAATAATGGTGTAAATAAGAAAACTATATGCAGTAAATTACTTGAAAATGTTCAGTTTTGTGATCGAGTCCATTTGGCATTGGCATTTAGGTGTCAACAACATTTCTTGCTAAAACATGTTCTCCAAACTGATATATTAAAAGTAAATGTATTATCAAATTAGTAAGTTTCCCTTCATTTATTGTGGTTCATGTGTAATTTTTAATTTTAAAAAATCTGTTAATTAGTTACTAAAAGGGTAATTGTGCTAAAATATGCTACATGGTAAAAAAAAAAAAACCTAATATTTTTGATTTAAGAGTTAGATTTTTTTTTCACATTCGCTCATTAACTAGAACAGGGGTTCCCAAACATTTCAGCCCCCAACACCCAAAATTACAATGCCAGTTACTCGCAACCCCAATAACCTTTGAAGTGGTTATAAATATACAAACCTTGCAAGCCTTGAACGCACTCAGACCTTCATCCATATTCAGTTGTGGGCCTCGTGGCCCATATTTTTAATGTACTTGAGTGCCGTAAAGGTTTCAGAAAGTTTCACCTGATTCCAAAAAAAAAGTCAGTCTGCTGCCTCTGACGCTGTTGCTGTGTCTTTAATATGACATAATTACCTCAGGAGTTGCAATCAAATGACCAAAATAAATTAAATGCTGGTGGCTTTTTAATTGTATGTTGTTGTTTTTAAAAGTAAGCATTAACTAATTTTTTTTTTTTCAGTAGGTTATGGTCATTCTAATAGTTTCATAAAATGAATTTAATTTTTGGAAATCACCAAGCAACCCCGCTCATTGTCTCATGGTCCAACCCTTTACTTTAGTAACCACTGAACTAGACATGGCTGATTAGTTTCAGTATTTGACAAAATATTTAGTTTTAACTGAATCATAAATTATAAGTTCTTCAAATTGAAACAGGATGCTGAATAATTGCTGAATAATTCTTTTTTTCTTTTGTAATACTGCTATGTAGTGTTTTTTATTAGCTGTAATTTGCTAAACCCAAACTGAGCATGTTTAATTTTTATTAAGATGTTTTTTATTCTGTAATGAAAATCAAGCCAATCAAAGTGAATAACATGCTTCTTGCCCTCCTGTTTCCACTCCAGGTGTAATTGCAAAAACATTCCAACTGATGGCACCAAAGTACATACTGAATCAGCATGTCAGGCCATCCTGTGTGCACATGCGTGTGCTCTTTTCACTGGTTACATGCTCAGTCAGCCTGACATTGCAGAGCTCCTCCTCCTCCATCTCCCTATATGTGATGCTGATGCTGAATTGACCATCACTGAGGGGCAAAGGGTGAAATTCTTCTCATATCCTCCAGTCGATCTGTCCACCTTCTCTCAGGAGTGAAGGATGGCGATGATCTGGATGCAGACAGAGAAGACGGTCGTGCAAGAGCTGCAGCGCAGATTGAGCAATGTCGCTCACAGCATTGGTAAGGACTGTATATGAGTGTCTGTGTTTGTCATTTAAAAAGAAATTGTTTAAATGCCTTTACATATTGAGTGGCATATTGATAGATGCAGTAATGCTGTTCAACAGTGAGAATTATTCATATCTTATTTGAGTACAGGATAATATTATATCTGGACACAAAATTTGGTCATCTGGGTTATAGCTGAGCTGATATTTTGGGCAGTTATGTTTGTGGTATTGTTGTATTCAAATATTTGACCTACAAAGTCTGACAAATTAAATAATTGTATGAAACAGTTAGAATTATACAACATATATGTTTCATTTTTGATACATTTTTACATACATTTGTATGGCTCAAATAGGCTATAATTAGCATACTGATTGTGGAGGGGGGGGGGGGGGGGGTTAAAGGTTCTTCAGAGGCTCAAATTGAGTAAAAATATATTATATATTCCAAATGTACGATAAAAACTATAAAAACATTACTTTGATAAAAGAATATACATGCATTAGTTACTATTACATTGCTTTTCAATAACATGTTAGGTAGGATGATATTTACATGCAGTGCAGTCATAAATGAGACATTTGGTAGAAAAAAAGGGATTTCAAGGAAAACAATTATGTTTTTAATTAATATTAATAATTTTGGTTGGTGCGGTGGCGCAGTAGGTAGCGCTGTGGCCTCACAGCAAGAAGGTCACTGGTTTTGGCATTTCTGTGTGGAGTCTGCGTGTTCTCACACCTACTTTAATGCTGCATTGTATTAAAGGGTCAAAGTGCAACCCTAAAATACTAATTAATGGTCACTTTAAATATTTAAACTTTGGCAGTATTCTTCAAACCACTATGATTTTGTTTATTTGTCAGCATTATGTTTTATCATTTAAAATATATACATGATCACCCATGAATAAACATTCTACAGAAGACTTCATGTAATATATTTGATACAATTTATCAGTCGGAGGACAGAATGAATGTAGACGATTTGATCATGTAGATAAGAAAGAGGCCTCATGTATCAGATATTCTTTAATAGAACATTTTTACATCAAAATATATTTTCAGTGGTATGCAAAACTCTACTCTGTGTCTAAATGAATGTTATGATTTCTGTACTTACCCTCATTTCTGAAGCCTAAAGGCAGAAAGAACTTTGCAGAAACCCTCCTGTGAGCTTCATGCTGGGGGTGACTTGACCAAAGTGTGTGTGTTTGGCAGAGATTCTGCTGAGTGCAAAAACAGATACCATAAAACACAGATTTCCTCTGTAGAACAGTTTCTGCAGTAGTCTGAACACAAGCTTTAGATAAACACGAGTGCTTTTAACTACTAGCTGTTGCATATTAAAGTGTAGGGGCTAGTGCTAAAATAATGGTCGACAATTTCTTGGGTTTACTACAGTGTTGTGTAGAATTATAACTAAGTATCAGTTTGAGGTCGGCAATAAAAAAGGAAAGTTATGCTGAGGATTTTAAGGAAAAGGCATCGCGAACGAGACTCTGATTGTGGACTACTTCCTCTAGTCCCGCTGACACAAGGACAGAGTGAGTAAAATCAGGTTATTGTCAGTATAAATGTTTTGGAACTGCTAAATGACCAAATGTGAATGTAAATAACCCCCAGTGCCAGGGGTGCATTTATTTGATTAAAACTAAAGTAAAATAGCAGAATTCCAGCATACTATTTTTAATTAAGGTATTTGTTTGGTATTTTTTTAATTTTAAAAAAGTAATTTGTCCTAGTCAGCTGAATATACAGATTAAATATAGACTTCAGAAATCATTTTTATAATTCAATGATTTTTTAAAGGGGTGGTCCAGAGTGTATTTTTAAGGCTTGGTAGTGTTTATAAGATGCAAAGCAATGTGAGCTCATGCTTCATTTGTAGAAAATCTTGTTATTTTTCAAATATCTTACTTTGATTACATACAGCTACTCAGCTAACATGAAAGCCTGAATTACACAGAATGAAAAGGACACAGGGGGATGCAGTGGCGCAGTAGGTAGTGCTGTCACCTCACAGCAAGAAGGTTGCTGGGTCGCTGGTTCGAGCCTCGGCTGGGTCAGCGTTTCTATGTGGAGTTTGCAAGTTCTCCTTGTGTTCACGTGGGTTTTCTCAGGGTGCTCTGGTTTCCCCCACAGTCCAAAGACATATGGTACAGGTGAATTGGGTAGGCTAAATTGTCCCTAGAGTATAAGTGTGGGTGGATGTTTCCCAGAGATGGGTTGCAGCTGGAAGGGTATCCGCTGCGTAAAAATATGCTGGATAAGTTGGCGGTTCATTCCGCTGTGGCGACCCCGGACTAATAAAGGGACTAAGCCGAAAAGCTAAACCTCATGTCTGCTCTCTAAAATAAAAAGTTTTATATACATTTGAAATTAGCATGTGTAATTAATATAAAACGTTCACATATCTTTTGCAAGTTTGTTATTTGAGATGTAGAACGCAGGGAAAGTGGCTGCATAGAGAGACATTTCAGCGCTGCTGAAGATTGTGGCTATTTACAGCAGTTTGACAGATAAATATGAATTTGTAACTAAATTGTTAGCAGTGCCAAACAGCATTTACCATTGTTTACATCCTTGTTTACATCCTTGCTAGAACATAGTGTTAACGCTAGATGCTGTGGATGTAGTTGATCGATTTTAACAAATAAAAATACTCACAGTTTGTGACTCACAATCCACAGCTTCTATTATGGTTGTGGTTTTAGCCGAATCCAGCACTGTACTGGGAGAGATTCTGGAAGCTGTTCATTGTCAAATGCTAGCTGTATATTTTTTTAGAATTTATGAATTGAACCTGAAGCGTTTGTGATCTCACAAACCTGGATGTATGTTTTTGTAGTCCCCAAACTTTGTTCGCTGTAGGCCAAGCTAACTCTGTAAAAGCCAATGTCTCCCTTTG